AAAAAAAAAAAAAAAAAAAAAAAAAAAAAAAGACAGCAAAACGAATGTGTGCATAAATAGACAGATGTCTCGGACCCTATTACTAACCGCCTAAGACAATTTTGAAACATCCCTCTGCAGATTCATTACAACGTCATCTTCCAAGCACAACCCAGACCATGACTTGCTGAAAAAAAACAACCACTACTGTAACTTTTTTGGATGGCCACTGCGGTCAGCTAAAAATGAACGCCCACCAGCAATTAATCCTACCTTCCCCACTTTGGACTCGCAATCGCTCTTGTGGTTGCACAGTATTCAGTGTGGCACTCACCAGCATGTTATCAGATGAAACCCACTGTGAGCAATGGTTAAGCGCTGACAAAGTCATATGTAATCACCAGCAATAATTGCTTCATTAATTTGGTTGCTGCTGTTTTTTCTCGAATCATCAATGTCAAAAACAACAAGTTAACAATTTCAAACTTGAGTAACTGAACAAAAAATATTTACCCAAGAGAGCTCACAAGCAAAATTCACCCGACGAAGCAACTGTGAATCGGTTCTCCTAAGCTCAATATGAAGCTTCTAAACCAAAAAATGAAAAGCATAAGAACTGCAGTGCACTGAACAACAACGCAGTCAATTTGAAAATCAGATAAAGATTTGATCACTCATCTTGAATAGCAATCAGTTACCAACGATTAAAAAATACAAAACGAAATTTGCGATCTAATAGAAATGATGGCTACAAACTTTTTCAATGTTTTACCAACATACATAACCGAAATTTTACTAAAAAGTTCCCTCTGGCCCTACAACCGTCCCTCTTTCCACGCAAAATAAATAATTTGAACAAGCGCAAAGCGCAAGTAACTTACACTGAAAGCATACAACACAAAGACAAAGACCTTTAAAACAATCGACAGAAACAATATACAAATATCATATAAGTATTTAAAGATAAACTTCTAATTACATCTAAACAAAAAAGGGGTAGGAAATAAAAAGACACTGGAAACCCCCATCAGAAAAATTTTTTACAAAAAATTCTTCTCTTCAGGTCACACCGATGCATCGTTACCTTTCACGTATTCAACACACTTGCTAGGGTCCGTTGGGAAGTACTTCTGACATAAAGTCATCAACCTTTTGAACGCCTAAAGTCTTTCCAAAAATTACGACCGAATGTTACAAATATTTTTAACATGTAGCTACCAAAAATTGAATAACAAGAAAAAAACAGTCTCTCACCTGTATATATTTCCGTTGTGTCTCGTCATTCAAAACATGGGCAATGTTAGATACGTAAGCTTTAGCTGAGCCAGGTCTCTGATGTAACCCAGACCTAGTAACACCGACTGGCCAAGGTGCATTGCCAATTGCCATTTCCATATAGGCATTGTTTGCCCTAAATTGGAAAGAAGGTGAAAAATCAAAAGTCTTCAAATGATGATCAAAGTGTGTATTAAAGAATTTTCCAAAAAGCCTTTTTCCTAGGCCTTTCTACTACTGCGACTACCTCCTTCCTCCAAAAAAAATTAACCACTCGAGCCCATCATTCCTAAAAATAACTGGAAAAATCATATCTCGGGAAGATAACTGTAGCAAAATTTTACTTAATGTAATCCCTATCGATAACGATCAAACGACATATTTTTATCAAATGCTCTCGAATGTCAGCATTTACAGTGTGCTTCTGAAGCATGTTTTGCAGAGGTCGCAAATGTTCCATTGTTTGCTTATGCTTCGTCGCCGCAGCCTTACCCTCAGGCGACCTAAAAATTAAAGAAACTTCAAAGAATATCTCTTAAAAAATGTAGGAAGAAGTTAAGCCATTCAATGAAGAAAATAAACAATTGAATAATGCACCTTTTTGTAAGTTCGTCTCGAGAGTTTAATGCTCTGCCCCATCTTTTTAAAATGTATGAGAAAAACTGATTTAAAATATCACAATCTCTATTAGGATTATCATCAACTCCTAACAGACAGGCATTTTCTTCTATCCTTTCCCACGACAAGTCTTCGTCATCGGGCATATCAACATCATGTTTTCCTAAAAAGAAAACCATCCTTGAATGCTACAGATTAACTAATACAGGGAAGACAACACGTTAACAATTGCACAAGCCCATATATGAAAAAATTTATTTTCGATTAATGAAGTGAAACGCCAACCAGCGTCGTCAACTTGTCCTTTGACAACTTCTTCAACCAGCTCATGATCGACTTCTTTCATAGCTGATATTAAATCATTTTTCCAACCTTCTTTCATATCGGGCTAGAAATGAAACAGAGCTGACTGTCTCTCCTGAGAGGAAAAGTAGATAACTCAAACTACTTAATTACAGTCATAAAACAGTTCTTCCTACCTTAACACTAAGTTTATTTTCTAGTGAATGAGTGAATTCAAGGTCCTGTCCGTAGTTTTACGAAAGACCAGTTTTAGGAAATCAATACTGCTAACCTGTTCAATTTCTAAACGCCTTAAACGAGCGCGAGATTCCTTCTCAGTTTCTCCAAACAAAGTGATCGGTTGGCTGCGGCTTCTTAACCTTCTCACTACTTCTGTTCTTGACATATCGTCACTTTCATCAACGATTACTCTTTCTTCTTCAACTTCTTTTGAAGGCCCCTCCGTTGCTTCAGCATTAGTCTACGAATACAATCGTTTAGCTAACCCAATTTCTAAAGGGAAGAGGAAAGACTAATTCAAAAAAGTAGCCACGTTGAATTACCGTTTTTGAGGGGTTTCGATAATTATTCTCGGCATACCTTTCATGATACATATTATTCTGTTTCTTTATTAATTCACTTCTCTTGAAGAATTTTTTTCCAGGCTCCTAAATAACAGTAATTTGAACTAAAACCAAAGAGAGTAAAGAAATGCTTAAAAAAAAAACAGAGAAGAAAAAAAGACGACTCAAAGCAGCACCCAAACATTCGCTGCGGCTAGCTTATAGACTGTATTACCGACAATTCTATACGGCAAATGTTACGTGTTTTAATTGAGAGAATGCAACTCTGCGAATGTAATGAATTTAATGCTAATAACGAATGTAATACTCAAAGTATAAAGTAAAAAGGAAAGCGTACAAGCTAAGGTTAGCACTGGTTACAAACCCTGCGTTTGCATTAGCGCAGAAAACAGAAAGTGATATATATATATATATATATATATATATAT